AACTAGAATCTTGGCTTTCAAGTTTATTATTTATTATTTACCAGACTCAGCCCTGATTAGCAGCATATAATGCGTAATTAAATTTACTTCATATAGTATATGTCTCTGATCAGGGCTGAGTCTGATAAATAATAAATAATAAACTTGAAAGTCCGAAGTCTGATTTTCCCTTGGCGTCACTCAAATGTGAAAATGTTTTATCTACCAAATAACACCAGACCAGCAGCTAGAATCGCAGTTATTACTGGATACCCAGATTCAATCATGATCATGTATGTTAGAGGGACAAGGAGTGCACCCAGTGCGGCGGGCAACAATCTAAATCCGATATAGGGAACATCATTCGTTATATAATCGTCTCCAATATTATCAAATTCAAAATGACCGTCATAACCCATCAACCAGCCCAATGCCGCGAACATGAGTTTTGCAAGAGGAGGATGTACATCGAAAAAATAAGTTCGTTTTATATAATAGCTCGCGAATTTACCAAAATGGACTTCGTCAAAGCTTTTTAGATCAAATGATTAACTTATTATTAAAAGAATGATTTAATTGGACGTTGAATGATCCAAAAGCTTACACGACTTGATGCGGGTGGTGTATCTTCCAAAAGCGGGTTATGAATGACATGATCGTGAGGATAGCCAAAGCGCTGTTCGAAACAATTTTCTTTTTTAGATCTCTATTCATTTGTCCAATCTGAAAAAAAGAAAAACGTTATATATTTTCTTATTTATTTATTTTATTCTTTTTTAATATTTGAAAGCTAAACATAGGAAACCAAAAAAAAAAAAAAACCTACAGTCTTCTTTTCGTCTAAGATTTGCGCATCTTGTATGGAATTAGGTGATTCCATAACTTGTATGCCATGTCTCTGGCGGACTTTGTGATCCGTCATTACGGAACTTATAAGCGGAGAAGTTAAAAATCAGCAGATTGAGAGACAATAAAGAACAATAACGCCTTTCGATCTTGAAGGAAACCTCGATTAGTTGTGAATGTATATATTTCATCTTAACTAACGTGGTAGTTGTTCATTGGATCTCCTCAAAACCTTCAAATGACATGCCTTTTATGGTAGTGTAACGTTATGTCAAAATTAAAAACTTGTTTTAATTAATTCACTTTACGTATGACTTTTCCATCGTAAAAAAAAAAAAAAAGTTTCCCGGTTTTGTTCTTGTTTTCTCTTTTTTTCCATTTGTCAGTCTGTGTAGCTGACAAAGAATCATATTCCTTTTTTTGCCCTTTTTTTTTTTTTTTTTTCTTATATATATTATGGATACGTTCCAAAATTTTAATACAAATGACGTTAACCCTAATTCTAATGACATTAACTTTCAGTTCGAGTATAATGAATTAAATGGTATATTTATGGATACTCCAAGACAACAAAATGTCAGTGGTAAAAATACTTCTAGAACCGATGGTTATCAACCTATTCCAAATTTTACATTATCAAGCAATATGTTGCCTACGCCTAATGGTTCTGACCATAATGCTTGCTCAGAATCCATGATTATGTCTCCCTATTCTATGTTACCAAATTCTGTAGAAGGTACTTTTCGTGAAGATGAGGTTGGTTGGATAAACTTTTTTTTAAATTACATTTGGCCATTTTAACTTACTCATTTTTAAAACATTTGCAGTTTTTTTTAGACCCTTATAGTTATTTATCATCACCTCTAATTTCACCAATCCTACAACCCGATCAACCTATGACAAGGCAACACGATCAGAAATCAAGTTCTACTTACAATCAAATGCCTAATAATCCTCACTATTCACCATTAAATAAGCCAGAAGGTGTAAATAATTCTGTGATACAATTACCAGGAAATAATTCTAGTCCTGATAACAACAGTATCGAAAATAATAGTAGCACAAAGAACAATGTAAATAAACTACCAACTATAATGACGGGTTCCCCATCTATAATGCCTAATGTAAACATGCCTTTGACTTCATCGATAGCCATGCAAGAACCAATTCCAAACTTGAATCTTGGCAGTAATCTCGTGTCTGAAGTAACGCAGACACAACCTTCATCTGCACATCTTTCAAATGGTTCATCCTCTTCCTTTAACGGTAATATCGTTCCAATAACACCGTCTTCTCTTATGAAATTAAATAAGCAACAATCTTCTACTCCGAATCCTACTCTGAATTCTATACAAGATAATCAAACAGTTAACACTCAACAAGGGCAAATACAGAATCAGCAAACTTTCAATAATGAGACAGAACAACCTACTTTTGTAGCACCAAGATCAAGGGTCACAACTTCTGGTCCGCAACGCATGTTGGTAATATCACCAACTGTGTCGCCAATATCTCCGAGAATGAATCCTGTGACAATGTCACCAATGATTTTACCATCGTCTGGGAGAAAAATTGTTCATACAAATCAGGCTGTTCGTTCTCCATCAACACTTAATCCTTCAAAAAGTCCTCAAACTCTGAAACTTACAATAAGCCCAAGCCTGAAACCAAAATTACCAGGTGTGCTGGCTAACGAAGTGGCAGAAAAATTAGCAAGTCAATCAAATTATAAAAACATTTTGGAGGGAACGTCAAAGTATGATTATCGGTCAAGAAATATGTCACATAGAGTGATAAATTATAATAAAAACTATAATAAACCATATGAATTTACTATAAACTTTAAGCCCCACATTATTTCCAACTTACAAATTAACTTATTTCAAATTTTGGGGTTAAAGCATATCAAAAATAGTAGATTAAGGTTATTTAGAACACTTTTTTTAAAAATTCCGTAAATATTGCATATTTCCTTAATGGAATTTTACAAAAAGAAAAATCTTTTTTAAGTGTAAAATCATGATTACATTGACTTAGAAGGTGAGGATAGGTTATCTTAGTAAAATAAAAAGTTTGCTATATACAAATATTAAAATTTTTTAGTTTATCTATGTAAACCTTTTTTTTTTTTTACTAACACAATCTGTTTCAACCTCTCTTAAGTAAACTTGTTCAACACGTAATTTTACGTACTTTATGTCTCGCCGATTTTGTTTTTTTTTTGAACTAAAAATCAATTAAAGATACACAAAAAATTTTTTTTAAATAAAAAATTTTTTGTATAACTTTAATTAATTTACTTAGTAAGAAGTTCAAAAAAAAACATAATCGGCGAGACGTAAAGTACGTAAAATTACTTGCTGAACAGGTTTACATAAGAGGTTGAAACAGATTGTGTTAGTAAAAAAAAAAAAAAAAAAAAAAAAGGTTTACATAGATAAACTAAAAATTTTAACATTTGTATATAGTAAACTTTTTATTTTACTAAGATAACCTATCTTCAACTTATAAGTCAACTTGTTCGGCGTAGAATTTTACAGACTTTACACTTAAAAAAATTTTTCTTTTTGTAAAATTTCGTTAAGGCAATATGCAATTTTTACAGAATTTTAAAAAAGTGTTCTAAATAACCTTAATCTACTATTTTCGATATGCTTAACCCCAAAATTTGAAAATAAGTTAATTTGTAATTTGAAAATAATGTGGGGCTTAAAGTTTATAGTAAGTAAATTCATATGTTTTTATTATAGTTTTTATTATAAACTAACACTTATATATTAACATATTCCTGACAGTTATTTTAATATTTGTTGAGAATTTCATGTAGAGCAAATAATTAATTGAAATCTTTGTTTAATTATAAAAAGATCCCTCGGTATATCCTATTCGTCTGAAGTACACTCAAGTCTAGAATCTCGACGTACGACACATAAGGCAGCAGAACAAAAACGTAGAGATTCATTAAAACAAAGCTTTGATGAATTAAAAAAAGTAGTTCCATTACATTCCATTACAAGTAATAATACTAAAGGAAATAATATTAAAGGAAATAACCACAAAAATGGTAGTGGAAATGATCGTAACATCACGAAAGGCAAAAGTTGTGATGGTAATGGATCACTGAAAAATGTTTCCAAATTACTTTTGCTAAAGCGAGGTGAGTTGATTTTACTTTTATTTTTGTAAATTATTTATCAAATATTTATTAAATATTTATTATAATAGCACATGATCATATTGTTGAGCTTCATCAACAGACCAAAGAAAAGGATGAACTTATTCAAAAATTAACAAATGAACTTGATGAACTTAAAGCTGCGAAAAAACTAAAGATTGAACATGATCAAAAAAATGATGATACGGAAATAATAACTGATGACAGACATTAAAGAAACTAAATGAAAATAGTTAATAACTTGTTAATAATTTTGGATCTTTGTATATTTTACTGATGACATTTCTCATTCTAAGTATTTCTTTCATCAAGCATTTTTTTATTCAATATTGTCGCAAATGCATCGAATTATCTTTATACAAATATGTTAGCTCTTCTTCATATTCTTCATTATTACAAACTTTAATTTGGTAATAACTTTGATCTAAATAAATTTTCCAATCTAATAATAGATCTTTGGAATTTACGGAATTATAAAGGTCGATAAAAACATAAATATAATATGTAATGACGCAGTCGACCCTACCCTCAACAAATACGTAACCATGCACTTAATGAAAGTTTTTGCTACATGAATTGTCAAATGATCTGTAATTAGTTATGATAAAGCTTAATAGGAAACTCGCGATCTAGTCTTTAATTAGTTATTGTATTTTCTTGTAAAAATCATAAAACAAGTATTCCATACATTTCATTTAATGATCATTAATTTTCTTTTACCACTTAATTCATTTCTATTGATTGTTCTCTTGATTTTTATTTTTACCTGTTTCTATAAGTATAGTGCAACTTCAGATAACAGACATGTTGTAAACATAATGGGAAGTTAATACATAAAATCAGTTAGGAAAACTGAATCACAATACATAGTGCATAGTGTTCCTTTAGGGAGGTTGATCGGTCTCGCAGCAATTGTGAATCGATTTGAGCAAATTGGCAATTTTAATTGACCTTCTTCAACAAGTAAAGTTGTAGATTTTTTTTTTTTTTAACCAAATTTAGTAGAGGTTTATTAATCTTCGCATTAGTTTTTGAGTAATTTTGATGGGACCGATTGATTAAGTTTCCATCTAAATTATTCAACAAACATACAACTCCCATCCGGGACAAATTAAACATCTGATGCTATCGTAGAGTATTTGTTTCGATATTACACTATTTCGATTGATGAGAAATTGATCCTGGATATCATAAATAAATAATTTGTACCATCCATTCAAGACACGTACGAAGGCACTAAACAACATTGTACCATACAGTATTATAGTCCTTTCATGATTTGTTATATTAGTAGTTCGAAAATATAATATACCTTTAGTTGTGACTTGTAACTACTCAATTTGTTTTGATGTATAATTTAGCGCTATTATTATATAACTATCATTATATTTTCACGCATTATTAGCATTATTAAAATATCCATATTACAATGAGTTTTTTTTTCATTTTTAAAATAAATAAAATCGAGTTACTTTGTTTCAGAGATTATCTTTCCTACTTGTCTCGACCACCACGTAGAGGTTGGGAAGGTTTTCCTCAACTGGTCTCCCCCGAGTTTCCCCATTAGAAGTAGATTGTTTCCCTGAATCAATACATAAGTATTAATTCAGTAAGCTTTGACTCAAAACTTCTAGAGCTCAGATACTATATTATACTACTTCCCTTCTTTTTCTCCCTTTCACCAAAACCGCTAACATAAGTTTTTGACTTTTAAGAAAGATAGTAATCAATTTCTCCTCCAGAACAAATAGACACTTAATTGACGGTTTTGATAACGACCCAATTACGATGGTTTAAACCAGTGCATAAAATCTATATGCACAATGTGCTCAAAGAACGTTTTTTTAAAAAAGTTTCACTTGTTTTTGGTTGGTAATTCTAGGTTAAATAGTGCACCATAATCATTGTCGCGGCTGAAGCTTGAAATTTTAAATATATACTTTATGAAATTTTCAAAAGTTTTTTGGGTGCATTTTTTTAGCTTTTTATTTATTATTATTATTATTATTATTATTAGGTGATTATCACCTGTGGTGTAAATTAGTTATTATCTTTTTTTTTAGCTTCTTTTTTTTTTTTAATAGTTAGCTTAGGATTTAGGGTTAGTTTTGATAATAAAAATATATATGTAGGGTTTATTAGAGGTGCAGACATATTGTCGTAATTAGTTACGACCTATTTATTTTAGGGAACGCCTATTTCCACCATGGACATTTGCTATTTCCACCATGCTGCCATACTTTCCATATGACTTTCAGTTACATAAACATGACAAGCATATTGTCATTATAAATTCCGTCAAATTGTGGAGTCATTTTTCAATGTATGCTAATTATTAATTGACGAATGTTATTTTTCAATTTGAAAATAACATGCGTTTTAGGGAACCACCATGAAATCATGCTTATGTAGCTGAAACTCATGTGAACAGCATGGTGGAAATAGCAAATTTTCATGGTGGAAATTTTAAAACAAATTATTTTATTGAGGTAATTAGGTTACGACCTAATTACGACAATATGTCTGCACCGACTTTCGTATAATTGGCTATTTAAATCAATTTGATTTTACATTATTTATACAGTTTAAAGTATTTTTTAAAAAAAAATAAAACTACAAAGTATAAACAAAAAAGAAGTATATAGAAAGTTTTATTAGGGTTTTAGGACTCCAGCATTAAAAATAATCAAAATCATTTCTGGTTTTAGAGAAGTTAGCATAATAGTGACTTTTTAAAGATAGATAGAATTAGGTTATTACCATGCTAACTTCTCTAAAACCAGAAATGATTTTGATTATTTTTAATACTGGAGTCCTACAACCCTAATAAAACTTTCTATACTTCTTTTTTGTTTATTCTTCGTAGTTTGATTTTTTTTAAAAAGTACTTTAAACTGTATAAATAATGTAAAATTAAATTGATTTAAACAGCCAATCATACGAAAGTCTTCCTATGGCCTCTAGGGTTTATATTTTTAAATCGGGTCCCTAATTTCAAGCTTCAGCTTCAGCCACGACAATTATTAATAAAATACCGTTGGAATGGAATTATTATAGATTTAGAATCCACCTATGTTGATTCCAAATAAACATAGGTTGTAATGAAATTCCGAGTCGTTAAAGAATTCCAATTTAACATAACGAAATTCTAAAATATGCCCGAGTCGTTAAAGAATTCCAATTTAACTTATAATAAAATTAAATGTATTCCAAATTATTTCATCGAATATGTTGTGTTGGAATTTAAATCGCTTTAAGACAAAGTTTATTCATAACACAACGCATTACAAATTAATTAAATTTAAAAGCATTACATGAAGTTTTTATCTAAATACATTTACAATGATTTTTTGTCACGCGTTTTTGCAATTGCATTTAAAATGTTATCTACATGTGATTGTGAAGAAGATATGTAATTCTAATAATACCAAATTCTAATAATACCAGATTGCAACTAAGTCTATATTATTCTGGATCTTATAAAACCTTAATACAAAAAATCAAGTCTTCACATGTTATAAAGGTTTTACGTCAATTATTGGCCGATTTATTTCTAAGATATTGGGAAAGCAAAAGAAAATAATAAAACATTTGCATTTAATCTTGATAATTTATCATGACGATATGATGTAATTTACACACTTATTAAAGTATTGAATTTAAAAATTAAGTTGCTATTAAATTTATCGATTATTACAGTATCGAATTTAGAATCAACTTAAGTTGCTTTTAACTTTCATATGGGATCTTTGCTATTAAAATGACCCTACAAAGCATTTGTTACATGAGATTTTTATTAAGAAAAAACAGTAAATCTATTTTAGAAAAAAAAAATTATATTTGGAATTCCGTTTCAACCTAAGTAGATTCTAAATCCACAATAATTCCGTTCCGATGTACGGCATATATATTCAAATTTATATATCTATATAAATTTAATTATATAAAAAATCATGGTAATTTCTACTTGAATGTCGCCAAAAGAAAACCCGAAAATGTATTTTGTACCACAGAATGCGAGCTTTTAAAAATCTGGGTAACATGTGATTAAAAGAACGATTGAAATTTGATTGGCATATTAGCGAACGTTTCGCACGGATATGTAACTGTAAAACGATTATCAAATAAAATCAAAGTTGATAGTGGAACAAGTACTAAAGTTGTTTTGATTATTTTTATTAGCCATTAGTGTTTTAGAATAGGTTCAACATTAATTTCTTGTATTTTTCATTTTTGGTTTGTTTTTTTTTTCTTTTTTGATTTGTAGTATGTTAGGATTATTTTTTTAATAAAATTGGGTAATTAGACAGTATCAATAGTTTGGATTAGCGTTCTAAACAGTTGCTGCTTAATATTTCAAAATGCTTATTGCGTAATATCTGATATGATCTAATAATGATCGTTACGCGGTAAGTTTGTTGAATAAAAAATCTATCGTTACGATTTGATAAAAATTATGTCGTGTTTTAGTAGTATGAAATTATGCGATAAGTTATTATTG